GATGGTTGCAGGTAAGTTCGTCGTCTGACTGGAATTTTCAAAGTAAAACGTGATAGGTGCGTTTTAATTGTAGTACATTCTTTAGCATTTTTTTGTGCATTTTGAGATAGGGAATCATGTGTGCTGATGGTGTATGTGTACAATTTAGTCAAATTTCTTGTTCATTTTCGTCAAAGTTTCCGAAAAGAGCTCTTTATGGAGCAACTAGCGCTTTCCGGATGGACCCTACAACTCCTTCCGGAAAGAGCTCCTCTTGGAGAGTTTTTAACATGTGCGCTCTCCTATGTTCTAAGTCATCTTTGGTGTTCTTCTATAATACACAATAATTTATCTATAAATGCACACTTCAGTATGAGTCTAAGAGATGAAGACAACCGACAATAGAGATTAAGGAAAATTGATTTTTTTTCTGAAAGTGATGAGAAAAAAAATACCCTTGTCTAAAACAAGTTTCTTAGAAAAAGTTATCAAAATGACAAAAAAATATTCAAAATTTTATAGTCTAGGGTGTTTAATGACAAAAATGATAGTCTTACACTAAACGTGGAATATTCACAAAAGACTTGAGACCTCTACAAGTATAACGACAAGGAAAATAAATCATGATATTTAAAAATGAACATTCAATATATAAAAAATGAACAATGATCCGCATATGACATATAGTGATTGGTAATAATTAGATTAGTTTATAAACTATAATTTCTAAATCCAATAATGCACCAGCCGGGAATCGAACCCAGTTCTGTACCGTGGCAGGGTACTATTCTACCACTAGACCTCTAGTGCCTCCCCAATAAAGTAAAGGTGATCGGAAATACCAACGTTTTTCCGTCCACCACAATTCTTCGACGCAAATTTGAAAAAAAAATACACTTTTTTCACCTATTTTTTTGAGTGATTGGAAAACTGAACATTTCCTGCAGTGGTTATGGAATTAGCAACACAAAAGTTAAATTATGTGTACCTAAGACTCAATCATCACGTGTAATATTATATTTTTTTTGTCATCTTATATATATTATAGGATAAAAATGAACAGCCGAGCCTCAAATTATGTACCAAAATATAATTAGATTATCAAATTAAAAAACTTCAAATTGAACCCTTAACTTTGTGTGCATTTTGAATCCGCACATTATTATAATCAAATGTAATCGTGCATTATTTTAGAAAGTATATTTTTTGAAGGATTTAGTTCTTTCTACAACATCGTCAACAACAGAGCTCACGTTATTTTAAGGAAAATCGATTTTTTTCTGAAAGTGATGAGAAAAAAATACCCTTGTCTAAAACAAAGTTTCGTAGAAAAAGTTATCAAAATGACAAAAAAAATATTCAAAATTTTATAGTCTAGGGTGCTTAATGACAAAAATGATAATCTTACACTAAACGTGGAATATTCACAAAAGACTTGAGACCTCTACAAGTATAACGACAAGGAAAATAAATCATGATATTTAAAATGAACATTGAATATATAAAAAATGAACAATGATCCGCATATGACATATAGTTTGAAAATTCCAGTCAGACGACGAACTTACCTGGAACCAGCGAGTCCAACGAAACAATTAACATACGACAAAAATAATGTGAGCTCTGTTGTTGACGAGGTTGTAAAAAGAACTTAATCCTACAAAAAATAATGCACGATTACATTTGATTATAATAATATTCGGAATCAAAATGCACACAAAGTTAAGGGTTCAATTTGAAGTTTTTTAATTTGATAATCTAATTATATTTTGGTACATAATTTGAGGCTCGGCTGTTCATTTTTATCCTATAATATATATAAGATGACAAAAAAAATATAATATTACACGTGATGATTGAGTCTTAGGTACACATAAATTAACTTTTATGTTGCTAATTCCATAACCACTGCGGGAAATGTTCACTTTTCCAATCACTCTAAAAAATAGCTGAAAAAAGTGTATTCTATATCAAATTTTCATTAAAGAATTGTGGTGGACGTAAAAACGTTGGTATTTCCGATCACCTTTATTTTATTGTGGAGGCACTAGTGGTTTAGTGGTAGAATAGTACCCTGCTATGGTATAGACCCAAGTTCGATTCTCGACTGGTGCATTTTTGGTTTTAGAAATGTTTTATAAACTAATCTAATTATTACCAATCACTATATGTTATATGCAGATCATTGTTCATTTTTTATATATTGAATCTTCATTTTTAAATATCATGATTTATTTCCCTTCTCATTATATTTGTAGAGGTCTCAAGTCTTTTGTGACAATTTCACGTTTAATGTAAGACTATCGTTTTTGTCATTAAACTCCCTAGACTATAAAATTTTGAACATTTTTTGACATTTTGATAACTTTTCCGACGAAACTTTGTTTTAGACAAGGGTATTTTTGTCTCATCACTTTAAGAAAATATTCGATTTTCCTTAATCACTCTCGTCGGTTGTCTTCATCTCTTAGACTCTTACTGAAGTGTGCATTTATAGACAAATTAGTGTGTATTATAGAAGAATACCAAATATGACTTAGAACATAGGAGCGCGCACAAGTTTAAAACTCTCCAATAGGAGCTGTTTCCGGAAGGAGTTGTAGGGTCCATCCGGAAAGAGCTAGTTGCTCCATAAGGACCTCTTTTCGGGAACTTTGACTAAAATGCACAAGAAATTTGACTAAAGTCTACACATACACCATCAGCACACATGAATCCCTATCTCAAAATGCACAAAAAAAAATACTTAAGAATGTACGACAAAAATAACGTGAGCTCTGTTGTTGACGAGGTTGTAGAAAGAACTTAATCCTTCAAAAAATGTACTTCCTAAAATAATGCACGATTACATTGATTATAATAATATTCGGAATCAAAATGCACACAAAGTTAATGGTTCAATTTGAAGTTTTTTAATTTGATAATCTAATTACATTTTGGTACATAATTTGAGGGCCGACTGTTCATTTCTATCCTATAATATATATATATATATATATATATATATATATATATATATATATATATATATATGATGACAAAAAAATATAATATTACACGTGATGATTGAGTCTTACAAAGGCGGGGTGTTACAAGTTGGTATCAGAGCTCTAGGTTGATGTCCTAGGGTTGTTAAAGTTAAATATATGAGCCTAGGAAGTTGACTTTTATAAGCCTTAAGTTTGAGATCTTAGGGTTTAAGTTTCCCTTGAAGTTTTAAGATTCCTTTAAGGTTTCTAATTTATCCTTTTTTTTTAGTCTTATTTCCGCTATTTTCGTCTTTTTAGACGGTTTAATCTATGTTTTAAAGTTTAAGAAAAAGGTGGGGTGTTACAGACATCGAGGATGTCAGTTCAACTAGTGGATATGTGTTCCTCATGTGTGGGGCAGTTGTATCTTGGAAATCAACGAAACAGTCATGCATTGCTAGATCGACTATGGAAGTAGAGTTCATAGCACTTGATCTAGCCTGCTAAGAGGCTAAGTGGCTAAGAAATTTATTCGCAGATGTGTCATTATGGGGGTGTCCAACACCTACCGTGCCCATACATTGTGATTCCCAAACCGCCATTTGTGTGGCAAAGAATAGTGTCTACAATGGGAAAAAGAAGACACATAAGAGTCAGACATGAGTCTGTATGGCAGCTAATGCTAAACGGGGTCATCACAATGAAATTTGTGAGATCTGAGAGGAATATAGAAGATCCTCTCACAAAAGGCTTAAATTGAAAAGCCACCCTTGAAACCTCAAGGGAGATGGGCTTAAAGCCAATGAGGTAATGAATTCGTGATGGATACCACCTTTGGTGGTCAAACGAAATAATGAAAAGACTTACAACCAAGTTATGGAAATAAGCAATCATAACATACTCTATAGCATGAAGGTGGTCTATATTGAGATAGACTTGACAGAATTAAAAATCTAAATAGAGTACAGTTTGACTAAACAGGGATTGATTATCAGTCAAAGTGTTTGACTGTGTAGAACCTGATCAGAGTTGACGTGAACACCTGAGTTCAAATTTTAATAACCTGAAAGTTCAAAGGAGCATCCTACGTACAGAAAGTAAAATACTCGGTGGTTTCACATGTCAGTTCAAGACCTCCTCATTGACATTAAAATCAGATCTTAGGGTTTCGCTCAAACATTATCCTTTCCTCTTTAAATATGTGGGGGATTGTTGGGAAATTTAAAGATGCAAATAAACCTAAGCCTCTCATTTGTTTGTGGATAGGAGAATTTTAGCCTTTCATTTATTTGTGGCCAACACCTTTCCCTCCTTTCTTTGGTTGGAGTGGAGGAGCTGTTTAGTATCACCTTTATAAACAACTCCTACCACCTTTATCAAAACACACCGAGCATTACAGCTTTCTATTCTCCTTTCCCTCGTCTGAGCCTACAAAGTAGTCCCGAGTTCTGTGTTTGCAAGTAGAAAGCACATGATATCCTGGTCGTGAAATGCTTTTAATGCAAATGTTAATTATAACGCATAGCAAGAACGTCCTTTTTCTATTCCCTTGGTTCACCCAGCCTAAATTTATAGTACTCGTATATTATCGATACGTGTACGACATTGTTATTATATCAGATTTAACCCTCTATTGTACAACATGATCTCCAGTCACAATAGCCATATTTTGTCTCATACTTACTTAGAACCCTCTGGTGTATTGGTGTCTATTGAACAGTATGAGTACCGTAACTGGATTTTGCTATATAAGAGTGTGGTTGAATAACAACTTCAGTTATTCAGTCCAACCAAACTGCTTAGTAAGACTAATCAACTGTCTAAGCTATATTAGGAAAATCTTACCGTCTAAGCTAGCTATGAAGAAGTAGGAGTCAACTCAAATTAAGTGGGAGCAATAATACTTAATTTTGTCCTGGTTGGTTCTGGATTTGCATTGCATTGCACTACGATCCGGCGGGATAGATTAAGTTTTATTATGTTAAGATAAGATCATTCAACAGAAGATGTTTGTATCATTAAACCTTCCAAAGGAATTGAAGTTTTTATATATTTGAATTAAGCTCCAATAATATAATGGAGATGAAAAATTGTTTTGAGGAATTAAATTCTCATCACAGTACACTTTGGAGGAAGAAGGAAATTAAAGAAACAATCTACATACATAGTACAAAAGTTATATATATATGCTAATACTTTGAGAGGTTTAGATGAGAGGCCGGCATTTATTTCCATTGATTTGCAACAATGTCAGCAAGATCCACAACCCTCTGTGAGTAACCCCATTCATTGTCGTACCAGGCAATAACCTTAACCATGTCGTCTCCCATGACCATGGTGAGCGAGGAGTCCACCGTGGACGACACATCGCTGCATCTGAAGTCGACCGACACAAGGGGCTCGTCGCAGACGGAGAGGATGCCGTCGAGCTCGTTGGCGGCGGATTCCCTGAACGCGGCGTTGACTTCCTCGGCGAAGGTCTTCTTGGAGACCTGAACGACGAGGTCGACGACGGAGACGTTGGGGGTGGGGACTCGGAGGGCGATGCCGTTGAGCTTGCCCTTGAGGCTGGGGAGGACAAGCGCGACGGCCTTGGCGGCGCCGGTTGAGGTTGGGACAATGTTGAGCGCGGCGGCTCTTGCACGTCGGAGATCCCTGTGGCTGGCGTCCAGCAGCCTCTGGTCGCCGGTGTAGGAGTGAGTAGTAGTCATGGTGCCCTTGATGATGCCTGTGTAGTATAGTAATCTCAAAGGATTAACATAATCAATCAAGGAGAGATAGATATGCATTTACTTTTTTTAAAAGGGACAAGTCCATCAATTAGTTTGAGAGATTGCTGGGCAGAGGCCAGTAAATGATCAAGTTTATCAATTGGTGATTAGAAAATTGTTGGTAGAAGCTGGTAAAAAGGTCAAGTCCATTAATTGGTTTGAGAGATTGTTGGGCAAAGATCGGTAAAAAATCAAGTTTATTCATTGATAGCTAGGAAATTGTTGGGTGAATACTGGTAAAAGGTCAAGTCCTCACGCCAAATTCTTCAATTGGGCCAAGACAAGTGTCAAGTTCATTAATTGGTGTCTAGATGGATAAGGTCAGTAAAAAGTCAAGTTCATCAATTAGTGACTAAAGAATTGTTGAGTAAAGACTCATGAAGGACCAAATCTATCAATTAGTAATTAAGAAATTGTTGTGCTCATAAAATATGATGGTTATCTATAAGGGATTAAAGTTGTACTTTGGCTACTAGCATAAACATTTGATCTAACAAATAAGAGAGATTATTACCAAATTTCTGGTCGAGGACCTTGACGAAAGGAGCAAGGCAGTTGGTGGTGCAAGAGGCGTTGCTGATGATGGGCTCATCGGGGCTGTAAGCGTCGGCGTTGACGCCCACAACGTAGGTGGGGATGTCGCCCTTTCCCGGTGCTGTGATCAGAACCTTCTTCGCTCCGGCCTCGATATGTTTTCCGGCGCCTTCTCTGTCCACGAAAACACCGGTTCCCTCAATAACCAAATCGATTCCCAATTCCCTGCACATATAGTTTGAAAAATCAAATCAAATCAAAAGTAGTGATTGATTGAAATCAAAATTAAAAAAATATTACTCACCCCCAAGGGAGGTTGAGGGGGTTGCGGCTGGATACGACTTTGATGACCTTGCCGTCGACGGAGATGCCATCGTCGCCGACGGGCTTGACATCGGCGTCGAAGATGCCGAGGGTGGAGTCGTATTTGAGAAGGTGAGAGGCCTGCTTCACACCTCCGGTGTCGTTGATGGCAATGACGTCAAGGGGAGAATCCTTCCTTCCATGCCAACACCTCAAGAAGTTCCTTCCAATTCTTCCGAATCCATTAATGGCCACCTTCAGCTTCGCCTCCACTACTGCCCTCCTCTGCTTCCCTCCGACCTATATATATTATCAATTACTATTATTATTGTTATTATTATTATTATTATTATTGCAACCAATGCCACAATATCATCTTTAGGAGCAATCATTATTGCATGGACCATAATTGTGTGGATCATAAATAAAAAATACATTTTTAATATACTAAAGGTATATTATTTATATACTAAAAGTACATTATTTTAATACTAAAAGTACATTATTTTATATATACTATCAAATAATGTATCTTCAGTACACAAATAATGTACATTTAATATACTAAAAATGTACACAATTACAATGTTTGATTGGAAGAAATTATACTTATAGTGAAATTAAAATTCATAGTGTTCCCCTATAAATTCCAATTCGATGGTGAATGAAAAGAAGAAAAAAAATAAAATTACAACATTACCCTTGATGATTATTATTATTATCCAGGGTATTTTAGTTTTTTTCCATTCAATTTTCAAAAATTATATTCTTAACTACCAAGCAATGTAATTTTAATTTATACTTTATTCTCAACTTATTTTTTTCTCAGAATTCTTTCTTTCCTAACTCCTACATCTCAACATGAATGCAAGCTAAAGCACTCTATTATCATACAATAATTAATCACTTTTGGTACAACAAATTTTTACTTGTAGTTTCACTACTCATTAATTTAGTCATTCAACAATTCAAACCAATCAAATTTAGTTGAAAATATCATCCTTTGTATCACCATTCATCATATTTTAATTTACCTTTCTATATAAACATGTGAGCCAGGTTACTTAATCCATTTTAGACTAAACTTAGTCCATTAAAAAAGTTAATGGACGACTAAATTTGATAATCAAGAATTAAAAGTAAAAAATGAAAATGTGGATTGGTCCTTAAAATTGACATAAAAGAAATTTAAATAAAATTAAAATTTAGTTGATTTATGAATATCTTGGAAGTATAATACATTCCACACTTTACAATTGCTTAAGACAAAAATATTTTCAATTTGACATGATTAAATGTATTTATGAATATCATTATGATATATATGCATACTAAATCTTTTACAATTCAATCACTGAATTACTTCGACTGTAATACGTCAAAATCAATCCATCAATAAATGTAAAAATGTTTTTCACTTATAATTAGAACACCAATGCCCAACTTATTTGAATTACAAAAATCTGATTCTCGATGATGATGAACCTAGATAGATCAGAGTATGAGTAGCAAATTAAAGCTAGCTAGAGACAGAATTGATGAAGAAATTAAAGTAGTAAACATGAATGAATACAATCAATTCAAACTTAACGCTGTGTATGTATATGCGGCATATATAGAATAGAAGAAGATCGATTGAGATTATATATATATATATATATATATATATATATATATATATATATATATATATATATATATATATATATATATATATAGAGAGAGAGAGAGAGAGAGAGAGAGAAGAAGAGTTTGAAAGTAGGATGTAAATGCGATATGATGCTCACAACAGAGGTCTGGAAGGAAACGACGGAGTGCAAGTCGTCATAGGATCTCCGCGCGAACGGAAGCGACGAAGACGAGCTGCGAAGTCCGGAGAACTCCGACGACAATCCCTTGTTGCTCACCTGCAAATTAAACCACACCTACGAATTAAAATTAGCTACAATAATAATCGCATTTCTGTGCATTCATTATATATATGGATCAGTAGTTGTCAAAAGAGCAGAGCAGAGGAATGAGCGATCGACCTGGTGGAGAGTGGAGTTGGCTACGGAAAGAGCAGCCGAAGCCATGGCGGGGTTTACAGGAGGAGCGAGGAGGAGAGTTAACTGCAGGAGTGGGGAGGTTTTGAGTTATTGGTTTATCAAAGAGGGAAGAGTGAAGAATGTGTGGTGTGAAGTGTGAAGTAGCTAGAGTGGATCAGATTATGGATCATACCTACATATATAGCCTCTCACTCATTCTATGGCTGTGGTGATTGGACCCTTTCCCTTTGTGGGAATAGTAGTAGTAGTAACACTCTCCTCATTTTGGCTAACCATTCTTCTACAAAATGGTGGTCACGGCAGTAACTCAGTGACTCAGCAGATAAGGCCTCCACATTGTTACTGTCAAGTTTCGAACATTTGTCTCTTCTCCCAAATACTACTTACTGAACGAGTGAGTGGGTCATTTTGGCTAACTATGTCTACTTACAATAGTTGTAATGGTGAAATTGAAACGGTTAAAGTACACAATTTTAATAGGGAGATTGGAATTGTCTAATCATCCCCGGTTGACACCGAACTAGCAAACACACTTATAATATTTTTGATAAAATTTATGAAACTTTTAAGCATTTTACTTATTCAATTGCTTTAACCATAACTTAGGTTGCACAGAAATAGAAAATGAAGAAATGGGATAGCTAGAAACATGGGATATGTACAATGTGTGAGATAAATGATAATATAAAACCTATAAATAAGAGGAAATGTTTCCAAAACACAAAATCATTAACCTTTAAGAGTTTATATGCATCATAAACTATAATTCATTCAAATTTCATTCTAAAAACGGATTGGAATAGTAGAATGTTATATTAACTCTTTCAAATTCAACCTTATTCGTTGCATTTTATATGACTGTTGTATGCAAACATACACTACGAGTGAGATGTTGCACTCGAGAGACAGATGTGAATTGTCACACTAACAAAAAAATAATTTCTTTATAGAGGAAATTTCAATTTTGGTCATATGACTATAGGGGTCTTGTTAATTTCAGTCCCTGACTTTTAAAAGTGTCAATTTAGTACCTTAACTATGCAATTTTTGTCAATTTTAGTCACTCCGGCCAAATTTCGCCGGAAAATTTTAATAGTTAAAATAATGAAGGTATTTTGATCGTTTCACGCATCTTTTCTTCTTCTCCGACGAGTCCATCTCTTTCTCTCCCGTTTCCAGCATTCTTTCTCCCTCTAAACCCTATCTTTAATATCCCATCAAGCCTCCTTTCCCCATCATCTTAGTTCATTGCATTCACCGAAAACGGAGAGGAAGGGATGGACTCGCCTGGGAAGAAGAAAAGAGACGTGAAATGATCAAAATACCCTCATTATTTTAACAATTAAAATTTTCCGACGAAATTTGGCCGACAATTTGATCGGAGTGACCAAAATTGACAAAAATTGCATAGTTAAAGTACTAAATTGACACTTTTAAAAGTCAAGGACTGAAATTAACAAGACCCTAGTCATATGACCAAAATTGAAATTTCCTCTTTCTTTATAGATTATTTTATTTTTGGCTTTTCAATATTTTTTTTTTAATTATATATGTATGTAGTGATATGGTAGCTACACTATCCATCACAATTCACAACTGCCAACATGTCAGTGATACTCCTTGCCATTGGATAGCCAATGACTAGAAATCCTTTGTCCATATCCATCAGCCACATCAAATTTGTGTCTACACCTTTGCTAAATGATCCAAAGGCCTCAACCATCAATAATTAAATTTAATTTATAAAAATAAAAAAAATAATAAAAAAAACATCCATTGAATAATGAGAGCAAAGTTTGTGGCTCCTGAAAGCAATAAGCTAGTGTATGATATATATCTAGTTTTTTTTTTTTTATTCATTGTGGATTTAAATTGACCTGAATTGAATATTCTCTCATCATTCTTTTTGTTTTTGTTTTTGAACTACATTGTGAAAACTATTTGGCATTTTTCTTAGACTTAGTGTAAGGTTGTAAGTCTAGCTTATTTTTTCAATTGAGATAATAAATATATTTTATTTAACAAAAATAAGAAAAACATTTTACAATATTATCTAATATTCAAAGATTCAACAAATGGAATTGTTGTAAATTCGGTCTTCTGATTAACCCAATACCCCGAGATCGTTGTACGATAAATGTCAGTAAATTTGTATGGTAGATAATGAAATGTAAAGAGGTAGATGTTAGAAATATACTAAACAATACATGTTATCTAACCTTATAGCGGAAGCATATGATCAAGCATCTCCAGCCATAGTTGTAATCTTCGTTGCATTGTTTGAAGAACAGTAAGAAACTTTAGAATTTTGTCTACCACTTAGTCTCCTGTACAACTAGATGGTGTAGTCACAAGTCATAGGAGCAGTGGGAGGACCATACACATATATATAACCTACGTGTCATCATATAGGTTAAGTAACGGAAACCGTTACTTCCGTTTCAAACCACAACATTATGGCCATAAATGGCCTATTAACTTGCACCACTTAATGGTGACATAATGGAAATGTTACATTCTCCCACTTGGTGCAAGTATTAACTCAAAGAAGCAAAAAACATGAACCATAGAGATAATTCCTCTTAATCAGAGTAGTATCCACTTATGATTACAATGTAACTTCTTCTCTAAGTACCTTATGTGGTATAAAACTTAATGAATAAACCTTATGTTCATTCTTAATTATAATTAGTTATAAAAACTAATTATTGCCGCAATGGCTAAATTTGGCCTAATTTACTTGCACAACCTCATTTGTATAATATTAATTGAAAATGTTACAATTTTCCATTTGGTGCAAGTATTGGCACAACCTTCGTTGAAGATCAAAAACATGAATCATAGTGGTATGTCCTCTAAATTAAAGTGTGAGTAATACCATCTATGCATCACATGCATTTTGATTCTCAACTCAGGTTCTTTATGAATAAACCTAACGTTTATTCTTGGTCCAACCTTATGGATGTTTCTCAAATAATTTTGCGCATAACCCTAGGAGAAACCATCCAAATTACATAGAAGTGACAACATAAATGTACGTAAAATATAGTCACATAATAAGTTCCATGTACCCCGTATGATCCCAAAACTTTTATAAGCATGCCTTAAGTAGGGATCCACAACTATTAGCATAATGCTAATATGTTGCATGACTAACTCATTATTATCTTTAATATTATCGCTGAGAGCTAAGTTTTCAGAGTCGACACGTCTATCACTCCTACTCTTATTAATCTTAGCAAACGACAGTAATTGAGTAGTCTATATTCCAAAGACTTAGATAACAAATTCTTGAGTCTAAGCCCACAAACGGAACTTTAAACATACACCTTATAAATAATCTCCAAAATAAAAAGAAGTCCAGTTTTTATGCCCGAGAGCAACAACGAGGATTTATTAGTTTAACTTTATGAAACAATAAAAATATTGTGTCAACATAACAAAAATCCACAAGATTCATCTATATGAACCAACATCATGAGTCTTTGCTTGCTTTATGTCTCTCAACATTGATTTTTGAGCCTTTTTAGATCTTAATGCCCAGGATCAATTTGATGAGACGAAAGACTCCAATAAATGCTAAAGAATCCAACTCGTGATAGTTCACCATAAACTTCATGCCAATGTTATAATAAAAAAACTATTAATGTTGTTACAACATTTTCAAAAATATGTTGCACAACTTGTAGTTCAACAATTTGAACTATTGATAATAACAAGGCAAGGTGTCTTATCCTTTAAGTGGAGCAATATTGAAGTGAGACATCTTTAATGATCTTTCCAAATTATCACTCCCACTGATCAAACGGGTATCTTTATTGGATCTTTTTCAAATGATCACCCCCACTGATCAAATCATTACTCCCACTAATAAAGTTATTCTTGAGCATAAATGATATACACACTAATGATCCTCAAGTCCAACTAATTTAACAAGGATTATAATTCCCCACCATAGTTGGACATGTTAAATATGTACATGTAACAAACACAATTTCCAACTACTTAAACAAAATAAATTGCTTTAGTTGAAATTTGGCTAGATATGTACAATTCCAATATAAGGATCCAAAAGTATATCATGTCTAAATTCAAAATCTCTACTGTGGTTGGGCTGAAAAAACCAAGTAAGCCACATACAGTAACAATTTCAAGTTACTAAAGTTTTGGAGGTTAACAAAATACATGTGTTGCCAATGCAACCCATGTGACATAATATAGAATTATAACTGGCCTTAAAGTTATAAATTCTAAAATTGGTATGATGAAATTTTATCTTGATCATCAATTTAAACAGGAGAATCCAGTGACATAAAACTTGCCTGTAGGCTAAAGATTTATTCAATTAGACTCAACTGAGACTTTATGATAATCAAATAGAAGAATCTAGTGACACAAAACTTGCCTGTGGGCTAAAGTTTTGTTCAATTAGACTCAACTAAAACTTTGTGATAAAATTATTATCAAAGGGAATAGAAGAATCTAGTGACATAAAACTTGCCTGTGGGCTAAAGTTTTATTCAATTAGATCCATCTACAACTTTATGATAAAACTATCAAACCATGTTCCTTTTCTTAATCCATGTGGGTAAATTAAGAAATATGATTTAATATTTTATCTTGACTATTTACATTAATATAATAAAATTCTTGTGGGTAGATTTTATTATACTTTATGTAATTAGTCACAAAGTGATCAAAATAACTTAATAATTTCAGTTATGAAATTGTATTGATCACTTGATATTTGTACACAAAAGAATATTAATGTACCAAGCTATTAATCCAAATTTCTTCCATACATAATAAATACACATAAAAGAAACTAGACTAATACTAAAAAAATGTACACATAAAAATACTTTTGAATGTGTACATATATCATAATTTTATGATAGAAGACGCCAATTTATTTATATTAAAACCATATGTTAAATAAATTGACCTTCCTATCTGCAATGATAAAACTCACCAAAACTATATTCCGATGCATAATTGCATGTGGGCTAAATTATGATCATAGTTTGGTGTTTTTACCCTAATTAATTATATAAACATAACAAAATTGTCTGTGGGCTAAATTTTATTATATCATATAATTAATCACAATCAATACATCTATGACTGTATGTGATCTCACAAAATTTCAATTT